GGGGGGAGACCAGATATAGTGAATGCAGGGTCCGGGGAGACCAGATATAGTGAATGCAGGGTCCAGGGAGACCAGATATAGTGAATGCAGGGTCCTGGGAGACCAGATATAGTGAATGCAGGGTCCGGGGAGACCAGATATAGTAAATGCAGGGTCCGGGGTTTAGTATCACTTTAAGCTGGGATTATAGAAATGGTTAAGGAGCCACAAGTCCCCTGTAAACAATTAAGAAATAAACAGTATGATTCCTGATCATGTGAGCATAATGACCGGGGTTCTGGGTTTAGTAACACTTTAATGTTGTGAATGCATTAGGATAAAAAGCCCTTAGGCTTTAGTATGTCATTTAAATATGAAAATAAAAGTGTCAACTTACCTCTGCCACATTCGTATGTTCATCAATAGACACAAATATCTTATAAAGGAGAGTTTCAAAATAATCTCCTTGTAGCCGGTTCATCACAAACCCTTCAAGGGGAGGCACTAAAAAGACAATCTCTGAGTTATTCTTCTGAGGAAGACACTTGGCATTTCACTTCAGAAAATTCATCTAATTGCACAAAAATCAATAACTAAAAAAACACTATGTCCAAGGCTCCTTAGCTGGCAGCAAGAGAAATTCCAACTTTAACTGCTGAACTATCACAACTACACAAACAAAGTCAAGCAAGTTTACTGCAGAGTCAGGCACCAATCTAGTGCACATTAGGTTACCGGTCATTTATTTAAAACCAAACTTGGGGCAATTCTTTTTAAATCTAATGGGCAACTTTTTTTTTTTTAAATCTAATGGGAACCCAGTTAGGCTACAAAGTAAATAAACAACTCAAGCTTCAATACTCATCTTCAGTTCAGAACAGTTGTTATCAGTACAAGATGTCCTTAGTAGGAGGATATACTATGGAAACCATGGTCCCCCCCTGTAGCAAACTTGCTCATCAGAGTTGGACGCGGAGTTCCCCTTTTTCTTTTCCTCAGCCCTCATTCCCTACCCCCCTCCCTTCCTGAGAGGCAAACGTTATCTCCTGAGTGACAGATGGTGGGGGGTCAACACAGGTGAAGGCATCCCTGGTTTGGTGCCAGCAGCCTGGGGAAAATGTAACCTTTCTCACCTACGTTCTGATAAGGCCAGCATTTCTCAGAGAATTGGGAAGCACTGACCCAAAACTGTGTAAGCCCCCACATCATAAAACTGACCAGCAGTAATTGAACATTCCTCAGGTCAACTGTATGTTTCATATCATGGAGTATGAAGCTGTTAGTTTAATTCAGAGTTCCCCTGACCCCTCCCAACACAGCGTAGTGAGAGCAACCCCCCTTTCAGAGGGAGTTTTAAAAAGAGACAGGCTAGCAAGCCTGCAAGTTAGAGTGTAACAGATCTCCCAGCTAACATCCAAGGAGGAGATCAAAGAACCTTCCTGCTCTGCACCGTGGATCTGCTTACAAACCAAGGCTTAAATTGACAAGTAACTTAGCCCTGTAACTTCTTTCCTATTACCTCTTTGCTGTATCTTTATATCCATATATATATATATATTTTCGTGACATCTCTTTGTAAATATTTTATTGCACCTGTTTGACTCTTTTAGTAATAAATCTTTCTTTCTGAAAGTGTTAAACTGTTTTTAAGCGCTTCCTTGCAATTCACGAATTCCTGCCTTTTGAAAAGACGCTACTGTGTTTGTTTAATTCACTGCCCAATTGACCATATTGGACAGGTGACTTTTCAATCATTATAGTGTATATTTGATAAAGGGAGTTTCCCAATCTCCTTTTTTTTAAAAGTGGTGGTGGCAGTTTGAAAAGGTTAGTTGCGTAATTAACCTGACCCAGTAACAAACGCATTCAGGCTGCAGGCACAGATTGTAGACCATTAGCTGGGCAATCGCTGTGCTGGGTGCAGCTGGGTGTGGCCTTGTTACGTGCGTCCCACCGCGGTTTTAGATCGGCCGGTCCTTCGGTCACGAGTTTGGTGAGAAGGTCTGGGGTCTGACGTCGCGGGCGTGACGTATTATTGTTAGTCGCGGTCGTGCGATTGTCACATGTTGGTGACGGCGACCGTGCGATCGTGACACCCCCCTCTAAGGGATTCAAGTGTATATACAGTATATTTTAATAAAAGAAAAAAAGAGCAAAACTTACATGCGGGGGACCCTTGAAGGGCGGTAAGAAGCTAAGGCTGTAAGGTTTTGTCACAGGTTTTTTTGTGTGCTTGTGTTTCAGGAGCCTGTATTCCTTCCAAGCGGCCAACTTTGGCAGCGGATTAAAAGACAGCACACCATAAGAACAGTGCAGTAAAATCTATAAAGTGAAATTAAAGGCTGCAGCTTTTTTAAAAAAAAATAAAAAACACATTATACTTATCTGCTCTGTGCAGTGTTGCTTTTTCACTACCTGCTGGAACCCTTTGGACCATGCAGTTGCAGGTCGATTGCAAAGTGGCCCCAATTACTTGAATGGAACACAATTGGCAAGCGGTAGCCCCACCAAAAGCAAAAGGGGGTTTAATTCCTGCTGCGGTGTACACCTTTGGCTAAGAGGGATAGAGATCGGGGAGGTAAAACTGCGACTCGACCACAGAGTTTTATAACCCTCCCCCCAGCTTTACATGTGTATGAGCCCTAAGGGTGTTACTGCCAAATGCAACTAAGAGCACATTCAAAAGGTGGTGAGGAGGCAATATGTTGCTTCCTCATCACCGGATTTAAAGCGATTCTAAAAGTCTCTTTTTTAAGGGGGAAAATAAGAAACATATCAATACTTACCTACTGTGTGTAATGGTTTTGCACAGAGCAGCCCGGATCCTCCTCTTCTCAGGTCCCCCGCTGGCACTCCTGGCCACTCCCTCCTGCCGAGTGCCTCCATAGCAAGCAGCTTGCTGTGGGGGCACTCAAGCAGGCTCACTCCTGAGCTGCTGCTCTGTCTGTTCATTCATACAAAGAAAGCGCGGCTCGGCCCCACCCCTGCTCTCTCTCATTGGCTCACTGGCTGTGATTGACAGTATTGGGGGGGGCTGCTGCACACAGACGGTTTTTACCTTTTACCTAGAATGCATGAAGGTAAAAAACCTTGAGCCTTTACAACCGCTTTGATTTTGCTGCAGTGCTAATGAGAATAAACATTTCAACTTGTAAAAATAAAAGTTGTGGAACAAGCAGGATTTTTAATGCAGGAGAGGCATGCTATATCTTTCTTGCATTGTTCCTTACCTGCCTGTACGCCCCACACACGTCCTACACACATGAATGAGCTTCCGTGTGTGCACAGGAGTGTTGTCATCTTGGCCGAACAAAAGATCGGCACCTAGAAGCTGATCCAGTGAAGTTGACAGCGGTGGGCAAAGCTGGTGGGGAGCTCCAATACACTGCAGCACTGGAGTAAAGGTAAGGATAATTCCAAGGGCTCTTTCACATGGTCTATCACACTCAGAAAAGAGATCTGTGGTGGATTCAGATGGCGGGTAGAGCAGTGGATGCCAGGCACACAAGAGGAAATTCCCGATGCCTCCTGAAAGCCTGTTTTTTTGGCTTTTTTTTTTAAGGAACCGCAAGCTAAGCATTTGTCTCGCAGTGGCAGTACAGTCTTTTTGACCTCAAAAGGTGGTGCGGCCTATTAAACTGCAAGCGGAGTCAAATTGTACCACCCATTCTTACAATGTTAAAATGTTAAGTGGGTGGTTGGCAACAGACCTTTACTTTAAAGCAGAGATCCACCCAAAAGGGGAAGTTACGTTTTAAGGACTGCTCACCTGCTACCCAATAAGGATTGGCACCTTTGGGGGGCGGGGAGCGGGTACCCTAATTTGACAGGTACCCGCTCCCACTTCCGGTCCAATCGCCTAGGTGATCGGAAACGGAAGGTGTCCTCCCTCCCTGTAGTCTTGTGGGACACGTGACAGGTCCCAGAAGACTACAGGACCATTCATGAAGCGCAGCACTACTCGCGCATGCGCAGCAGGCACCCGACTGTGAAGACGCAAGCAGTCACAGCCGGGTGCCCACACTGAAGATGCCGGCCTTCAGGAATACATGATGGCTGGTGAAACGGGCTGCAAGGGACACACCATGGGATTGTGGGACAGGTAAGTGGCTGTTCTTTAAAAGTCAGCAGCTACAGTTTTTGCAGCTGCTGATTTTTATTTTTTTACAGGGTGAGGGGAACTCCACTTTAACTGCTAAATTGGTGGATAAACAAGTTGCTCTTACAAAAGCAAAAAATGCTTATTATTTTCTCCCATCCCAGACATTCCACACCCTTCTGAAAAATGAAACCGCATTCTCTGTGTGGCAATGCGCCAGGTTCTGGCGTAACATTAGAAATCTTCTGATGTCCCTTTGCTACAAGTCATATCTAGAATAGATGCAATTATGCTGATGGAGCAAACATTGCCTACAATTCAGAACTCTAAATCTAGCTTTGACACTAAGTGGAACCCTTGGTTCCTGTATTTCCTTCCTGTGGTATAGTGATTATTTTATGTACTGTAATTTAGATGCATTATTATTGTTCCACTCTATCATATATTGTCTCTGGGCATATACTCACCTATACATAGGATAATCCTAGATTTAACTTTTATTTTGCTCTGTTTTGAATATTGAAATTGGGTCCATTTGATTGTTCTTTATTTGTATTTTGTACAATTTATATTGTCAATTCTGGTGACAGATGTATGCTTTCATGGATCTCTTTTATTTTTATTTTTTTTTGCATGCACTTACTCTATGCTTCCATGTTTGAATGAAGTTTTTTTTCAATAAAAGTTTATAAATAAAAAGATTTAGGTGGGTGGTAAAAATGCAGATCGGCCTGCTTTTACTGCCACTGGTCTGAAATGGCCCCAATAGGTAAAAAGAGATTATTTCTTCACACCATACAGCTGTAGAATGTAAATGAATTTCAAGTCAAGGCTTAAAATTTCAAGTCCTGAGCTACTAGCCAGGCCTTAGAGTTACTTGCCACCAACAAACACACACAGAGACACCTGTACACACACAGACATGTACATACACACAGGCACATACAGACACATGTATACACACACAGGCACGTACTGACACATGTATACACAGATACATGTACATACACAGAAATACACCTGCACAGGCACATGTACATACACACAAATACACACATGTACATGCACACACACAGGCACATGTACATACATGCAGACACATGTACAGATACACACATGTACATACACATGTAAAATTGTACATGCATACAGAGACACACAAACACACACACACGTACACCCCCCCTTCCCCCCTAAAAAGTTGCAGTACTTCGTTGTTCACTCACAGAGCCGGGTACTGCACTCTAGGGGGAGGCAGAGAGCACAGCACACACTCCTTCCTTTGCTTTCACTGCACTCAGCCATTGAGCAGTCTGACGGCTCCCAGTGCCAATAACAGATCCGGCCTGAGCTCCGAGCCTGCTCAGCAAGACGGCCCTGGGGGACACACTTGCCCCCACCATAATTTCCACTCGCCATTGGCGAGCAGGTGAGTGGAAATTTCAAGCCCTGGAATAGTACAAACAACATTTTTACAAATAGAGTTCAGCAATAAACAAAAAAAACATAATTCTGCACTAACAAGTTACAAAAGGATAGAGAGAGCAGACAGATAGAAGCTTACAGCCTAGAAGAATCAGGAGTATGACACAAGGTGAAACGATGGGTAAGCAGTATACAAGTGTGTGTGCACAATGTCAGTTAACTGGGGAGAATCTGTGTAGTATTATTACCTGATAAAGCTATCCCACATGTGATTATAAGCTTGCCAGATGAGGTGACTTTTTAGGGCATACCACAAGATTTGAAGAGTTATAATGTACCAAATGGATTGGGTAAGGAAGATTCAGACAAGGATACAGGTTCAAAACAAGCCTTGTGCCTCGGTTCACAGGGATGCGATGTAAGAAACGCAGCGATTCCTGTGCGTTTCCCGCACTGCATAGCAAATTGCACTGTGTTCTGCCATCTGCTGTGGGTGTCAATGGAAAGGTAACCACACCCCAAAAGCAGTGCATTTGCCTGAACCGGATTGCATAGGTATAAACACCCATGTGATCTGGTTCCTAAAAAAAAAAAAAAAAAAAAAAAAAACGCGGTCCGCACCTTTTTGATGTGGATGCGGTGCAATTTGAGCCATCCAAAACGAATGGGCTTAAATCCCGCCGCACAGAACCGAATGTGATTTGACCATCACATCTATCTATATGGCGAAAAGTATGTGGACAACCCTCCAAATTCTTAAGTTCCGGTTTCCAGTGAAGGAAGCTGTTAATGCTACAGCATACAAAGACATTTTACACAATTGTGTGCTTCCAACCTTGTGGACCCAGTTTGGGGAATACCCTTTTCTGTTCCAGCATGACCGTGCACACACCACACACTATATTGCCAAAAGTATGGGAACACACCTCCAAATCATTGGATTCAGGTGTTATAATCACCTCCCTGGCCACAGGTGTATAAAATCAAGCCCCTAGGCATGCAGACTTCTTCTACAGACATTTGTGAAAGAATGGGTCGCTCTCAGGAGCTCAGTAAATTCAAGCGTGGTCCCGTGATAGGTTGCCATCTGTGACATTTCCTTGCTACTAAATATTCCACGGTCAACTGTTAGAGGGATTATAACAAAGTGGAAGCAACTGGGAACAACAGCAACTCATCCACCAAGTGGTAGGCCACGTAAAATGACAGAGCGGGGTCAGCACATGCTGAAGCACACAGTGCGCAGAAGTCACCAACTGTCTGCAGAGTCAATAGCTAAAGATCTCCAAACTTCATGTGGCCTTCAGATTAGCACAACAACAGTGCGTAGAGAGCTTCATGGAATGGGTTTCCATGGCCGAGCAGCTGCATCCAAGCCTTACATCACCAAGTGCAATGCAAAGCATCTGATGCTGTGGTGTAAAGCATGCCGCCACTGGACTCTAGAGCAGTGGAGACATGTTCTCTGAAGTGATCAATCACACTTCTCTGTCTGGCAATCCGATGGATGTGTCTGGGTTTGGTGGTTGCCAGGAGAACAGTACTTGCCTGACTGCATTGTGCCAAGTGTAAAGTTTGGTGGAAGGGGATTATGGTGTGGGGTTGTTTTTCAGGGGTTGGGCTTGGCCCCTTAGTTGCAGTGAAGGGAACTCTTAAGGCATCAGCATACCAAGACATTTTGGACAATTTCATGCTCCCAACTTTGTGGGAACAGTTTGGGGAAGGCCCCTTCCTGTTCCAACATGACTGCACACCAGTTAATAAAGCAAGGTCCATAAAGACATGGATGAATGAGTTTGGGGTGGAGGAACTTGACTGTCCTGCACAGAGTCCTGACCTCAACCCAATAGAACACCTTTGGGATGAATTAGAGCGGAGACTGCGATCCAGGCCTTCTCATCCGACATCAGTGCCTGACCTCACAAATGTGCTTCTGGAAGAATGGTCAAACCTTTCCATAGACACCCTCCTAAACCTTGTGGACGGCCTTCCCAGAAGAGTTGAAGCTGTTATCACTTCAAAGGGCGGGGCCAACTCAATATTGAACCCTACGGACTAAGACTGGGATCCCATGTGTAAAGGCAGGCGCCCCAATACTGTTGCCAATATAGTGTGTGTGTGTGTATATATATATATATATATATATATCTCTCAATCATCATATACATACACAGTGTATATCTATCAATCTGCAAGAGGATTACATCATTACTGTTCAGGAAGAATAGAAATACATTTCTAATTTTACTTGGTACTTACCAGCTATACAACTGTCATCTGAGATTGGTACATCAAGATATATGAATCCTTTATTATAAAGGCCTAAAAGACATAAATGAGGTCTGTTAACACCAAATAAAAGGGAGTAGAGACTAAAATCAAAGAAAATCAAGATTTAAAGAGAGTCACTGAGTGGTGATAGTATTTCATGAAGCAACTATACCAACTTACACATAAATGCCATCAGGGATAATGGATACTGACATAATCTGGCTGCAGAGGGACATTTGCTGCACATCAGATATGCTATATACAGAAATGTGATCCTTTCAGCTATATGCACATCAATGCTAATATATGCTACTTTGAAAACTTTGCTGTCATTTAGAGTGATGGAGCTTGAGAATAGTATGAGTTATTACCATAGGTTTTAATTTTTGTGTAATGTTGTATAATATAAAAAAAAATATGAGTAGACAGAAACAGTTTCTTGGAGACTGGTAGTGAAGGCCTCTTTACGTGGCCCACAAGAGCGCAGACCCTGCAACTGGGGCAGTGCGCAATTCCCAGTATGACATTTGAAGGATGGTATTTACGTGTATACCCTTCAGGCAGTCTGCCATCGATTTGTATAGGCTGGTTGTACGATCTGTCACTCCCGGACAAAGAAATACCCCAAATGTATGCAGTACAACCCTTGCAGTCATGTGCTGGAGGCCTAGGGCCACGTTTACACCTGCTTTACTCTCTGAGGAGCAACCTGTGTTCAGGTCCCACTTCAGAGAGCATTTGACAGGCAATGAGGAGGCGGTACTGCCTTTCGTGTGACAGGGGTATACTTTCTGCCACAGCCGTGAAGCAAAGCATTGCAGCAGTGGCATCTGTACACCCCCAGCCACTGCCTCTGTATACCCCCAGCCACTGCCTCTGTATCAAAAGGGGGAGCAGTTGAGGGAGGGTAAAAACGTGAGGGTGGATTTAGCTGCCCCCTCAATCACAAGTGTAAACAAGCCCTAAAAGAGACTTGCTGGTGTATAGTCTGGTTTTATTAACCAGGTCTTTTATGTGTAAGATAGTACAGTTCTTTAACTGCTTCCTGACCACCCTACAGCAGAACTACTGCTACAGGGTAGCAGGGATGCGCAAAATCACATATATATTGTGTTTTGCATTTTTGCACGCGCGTTTTTGAATTGCTTTTTTTCTTGAGCTTTTCTTTTTTTAACACAAAAGCGCTTCAAAATCTGCTCAGTGTGAAAGCGGCCTACTGGGCTGAAAAGGTGCTGAAAATAAATATATATTATTATTATTATACAGGATTTATATGGCGCCAACAGTTTGCACAGTGCTTTACAATATAAGGGAGACAGTACAATTGCAATACATTTCAGTACAGAAGGAATAGGAGGGCCAGGCTCGTGGAGCTTACAATCTAAAGGAAGGGGGAGCTGATACAAAAGGTGATAGCTGAGGGGGATGATCTGGCGGAGGTGATTCAAGTACAGTTCTTAGGTGGAGGTGGGGTAGGCTTCCCTGAAGAAGTGAGTTTTCAAAGATCACCTAAAGGCAGACAGGGTGGGGGCCGACCAGACATGCTGTGGTAGGGAGTTCCAGAGGATGGGAGAGGCTCTAGAGAAGTCCTGGAGGCGAGCGTGGGAGGAGGTGATGAGGGAGCTAGAGAGGAGGATATCATGGGAAGAGCGGAGTGGGCGATTTGGGGGGTATCTGTGGATGAGGTTGGTGATGTAGCTAGGGGCATTGTTGTGGATGGCTTTGTAAGCTGTGGTTAGTATTTTGAATTTTATACGTTGGGTTAGTGGAAGCCAGTGGAGGGATTGGCAGAGAGGGGCAGCAGTCGCTGATCGGTTGGTAAGGTGTATGAGTCTAGCAGCAGAATTCATAATAGACTGAAGGGGGGATAGCCTGTGTAACGGTAGACCAGTGAGGAGGGAGTTGCAGTAATCGAGGCGGGATATAACCAAGGCGTGGATAAGTTGTTTTGTGGTGTCATTGGTAAGGAAGGGGCGGATTTTGGAAATGTTCCGGAGGTTGAGGCGGCAGGATTTAGTCAGTGAGGAGATGTGGGGCCCAAAGGAGAGGTCAGAGTCTAGGATTACGCCTAGCACCCTGGCATGAGGGGAAGGACCAATGGTTGTGCTGTTGATCTTAATGGTAAAGTCATGAGTGGGGGATCGGGGAGGAGGAAATATTACAAGCTCAGTTTTTGAAAGATTGAGTTTAAGGTAGTGATGTGACACCCATGCTGATATGTCGCTTATTAGATTTGTGATACGTGAGGAGATTGAGGGGGGTGAGCTGGGGAGTGGAGAGATAGACCTGGGTGTCATCAGCATTGAGGTGGTATTGGAAGCCATGGGAGGTTGTCAGTTGGCCCAGGGAGGAGGTATAGAGAGAGAAAAGGAGGGGCCCAAGAACAGAACCTTGGGGTACCCCAACAGAAAGGGAAGTGGAAGCAGAGGAGGAGGAGTTGTATGTGACACTGAAAGTGCGCTGAGAAGGGTAAGAGGAGAACCAGGAGAGAGCAGAGTCACGGAGGCCGATGGAGTGGAGTTTACTGAGGAGGAGCGGGTGGTCGACTGTGTCAAAGGCAGCGGAAAGGTCAAGGAGTATGAGTATGGAGTAATGGCTGTTGATTTTAGCAGTTAGTAGGTTAAATTCAGGATATTATTTAAAAAGTCGAAGTACAATGCAGTTATACAGAAAAAAAAAAATAATATATATATATATATATTTTTTTTTTTTTTTTTTTTAAACGTCCATTTTGGGTTCAGTTTTCAGCCAAATGC